ATACAGATGGAGTTGAATATCTGCTAACTTTAGATGTTGAATATAATATGTCAAATTTATTTACATTATAGATTTATAAGAACTTAACTGAATTTTGTATACAAATGAAATTTTCTAGAAATTTAAATACTAAAATAAAGTTGAAGTTGATTTATAGCAATAACAGATAGAATTTATAGNATAACATAACCTAATTTATTTAGTATAATCTTTAAAAAATAAAATATATTTTGGAAATTAGATTTAATTTATAGACATTTCGTTATGAAAGCAGATATTGGAAGAAGTTGGTAAATTGCAATGAAAGCTTAAAGATAATATTTCTTTGTTTCACATAATTTGTTGCACATAACTAAATCTTTATTTAGCTATAAGCATAATATTACTACTAATTTCTTATTTAGTTGAAAATAGATAACATTTAGATTTTGTCAGAATTCAATGACCACTACTTACTAAGATCATATACATAACACGTTTTAATATCCAGCAAAATTGTTCTTATTTTATATAAAGTTTCTGGCCTAGTTAATAGGCAGTCTTCAGGTTTGAGTTCTAAATTATTATGATAGCTATAATTTAATTTAAAATATATCTAAATTATTAAACTATTCTGTTCTATCATCTATAACAGAAATTCCATCATGTACAAATTAATATTTAATAACGGTAAGATCAAAGTAAAGAGATTTTGTGTACCAGGCATATATTGCATCCTGAATAAAAATGATATTGGTTTGTTTCAAAAGTTTATAGCAATTTTTAGAGAAATAAAAGAAACTGTTTTAAAACTAAAAATATACTTTTATTCTATTACGTATGCGCCATTGTTTTTAATGACGTGTTGCCATCTACAGGGGAACTTCATGATACTCTCTTCGTAGAACTTTCCAGTTTTTCCCGTGAAAAACTGATCCATATGGTTTTTGCAACCTTCCAAAGTATCAAAGTTTTTATCATTAAGGGAATTCTGCAGAAAACAGAATAAATGGTGGTCTGACGGGGCAAGGTTGGATGAGTATGGAGGATGGGGTAAAACTTTCCAACCTAGTTCCAATAATTTTTGGTGTGTTCGTAAAGATGTGTGCTGTCTGTCATTATCTTGATGAAACACAATGCCTTTTCTATTGGCCACTTCTAGACAGTTTCTTTAATTGCCATGTTCAGTTTATCCAATTGGTAGCACTTATCAGAATCAATTGTTTGATTCTGTGGAAGCAGCTCATAGTACAGGATTCCTTTCCAATCCCACCAGATGGTGAACATGATCTTCTTTGGATGAAGACTGGCCTTTGGAGTTTTAATGGTAGTTCATCTTTCTTACCTAATGATTGTTTTTGGCTGATGTTGTTATAAACAATCCACTTTTCATCACCTGTCACTAAACACTTCAGAAAAGGGTCATTTTCATTTAGTTTTTTAAGAGAATTACAAATGGAGATGCAGTCTAGTTAGTTCTTTTCCATTAAGTTGTGAGGCATTCAATTGTAATGATTCATGTATCTTCTTTAGATGTTGAAATGCAGTACTGCTTGATGACTTCACTATGTCTGCAATCTCTCGAGTTGTGTAATGAGGGTTTTCATCCAATAATGTTTTATCTGGTCCTCTTCAATAACGGAAGATCTTCCTGAGCAGGGAACATCTTCAAGGTTGAAATTACCTGTTTTAATTTAGCAAACTACTTTCCAGCAGTTGATTCTGTTACAGCACTCCCACCATAAACATCACATATTTATTTTGCTGTTTGTACAGCATTTTTTCCTTTATGATAAAATAAAAAGAAACAGATGTCGAAAATGCACGTTGTTTGCATCCATTTTCACACTAAGACAATTAAAATGATATTTGAATAATCTTAATGGGTTTTTTTTTATAATGGATGCATCTCAAGGCCAATTATGCTACCTGGACCTCTGGTCCAATCTCATTTTCCAGTATATATAACATTATATTACAACCATCAACAATTATTACAGTGCCAGCTGGAGATGCATCCACTACCCACGTCCTGTAAACATCTCCTAAGGCACTCAACCAGCCACTGCAAACCCAGGCAAGGCGTATATATATATATATATATAAACAAACAAACAACAACTTGACTTTAACCAGCAAAATTTAATAGCATCAATACACAAATCCTCCTAATACACAAACTTCTCTGTAAAATTTTGGAAATTTTCGACAAAAAGCACAAGAGTTATTAAGCTTCAAAGAGAGTGAACAAAATCATGCCCCTCACATACAATTTTACATACATATGGAAAAAAGCTCAAATTTTTTGCATTTTTCAACGTTTCAAAGTTGCGAGTACAAAAATGTAAAAATCTGGGTGGGTCAGATTTTGACCAATTGTTGTTATACTCAACTAATGTTATACAGTCCTTTCAACAATAATAGAGCCTACAAACTCTATTATTTTTCGTGTAACTTTGATGAAATTTTCTAGTACATTTGATAGCAAAATATCAACAATTATTGCATAAGTTTGGAGAAAAATGATTAATAAAGAAAAGAGTTAGATATTATTATCAAAAATAGGATATCTAACATTAATAGAACATGTATTGATTGGAATTAAGTACAAAGAAAGTAATGATTTGAATCTGTGAAATTTGCAAAAAATATGATCAACAAGTGAAAAGAATGGTTTAGTAAATTGCATAATACCTTACCGTTAAAAATGGAGCAGAGAAGGACCTAACTGTAGAGAAGAATCAAAATTGATGTATTTCACCAGGAAGGGAGTAAAGTAGCTTGGATTGCTAAAAATTTGCGAAGACCTCATGCAACAATCCAAAGTATTTTAATAATAAGGAACAAAGAACAGGAAAATGAAACAGTGGGTATAAGAGTTCAACAACACCTAGAGAACGATGTGCAATTGTTTGATGTGCACTGCAAGGAAACACATTTGTTCAAAAAATCAAAAATGAATTAAAACTAAACTGCAGTAAGTCAGTAAATCAGTAAAACAGTTCACAATGTTTTGAGATTAACAGAGAATGTTTCTTTCATCAAAATAAAGACAGGCAACCAGCTCAAGGAAAACACAAACAACTTCAATTACAGTTTGTCAGAAACAACTTTGAAAGAGAAGGATGACAAAAAGTAACTTTCTTGGATAAAAAAAAGTTGAATTTTGATGGAGCTGATAGTTTTAAGTATTATTGGACAGACAAAAGACTAAATCAAAAGCAGTACTGAAAGAGAGTAGCTGGTGGTGGTACACTCATAATTTTGAACAAATGTGTTTCCTTGCAGTGCACATCGAACAATTGCACATCATTCTCTAGGTGTTGTTGAACTCTTACACCCACTGTTTCATTTTCCTGTTCATTGTTCCTTATTATTGGAATACTTTGGATTGTTGCATGAGGTCTTTGCAAATTTTTAGCAATCCAAGTTACTTTACTCCCTTCCTGGTGAAATACATCAATTTTGATTCTTCTCTACAGTTCTCTACACTCATAATTTGGGTGGAGATTGTGTAGAATGGAAAGACAGATCTAGTATTTATTGAAAGTTGAAACAACTCTCAAACATCAGGATCTTTTCTGAAGGCAAACTTATGGATAGAAAATTGCTGGACAGATCTTTGAATTCCTGCAGGACAATGCAAGCTTCCATGTATCGAAATCAATGTTATCTTTTTTTCCAGAGCAAGAATGTCTGACTTTTGGACTGGCTACTCCTCAGTGCAGATTTAAACCAAATTTAAAATCATTGGGTGACTTGGTTTTCCAAATGTACAACAGTGGAAAGCAATACAAGACCATCACTGAACTAAAGGCTGTTCTCATTGAAGCATGGAAAAATATTCCACAAGAATGACTGTAATTTTTGATTAATTCAATGTCTAATTGTATTTTTCAGCTTGTTTCCAAAAAATGGCAGCAAAATCAGCTACTAATTTTAACTTAAAGATATCATAAATCATGATGTTTTATTAATGTTGGACATTCTATTTTTGCTAATAGTATCTAGCTCTTTTGTTTATTAATCATTTTTCTTCAAACTTGTGCAATAATTGTTGATATCTTATTATAAAATGTACTAGAAAATTTCAGTGAAGTTACATGAAAATAATAGAGAGTTTCTAGTCAATCCATTGTGTTTCTATTATTGTTGGAAGGACTGTATGTAACAGAGCTGGGAAAGTAAAGACTGGCTACATGAATACAAGTCTATCAACAAAGGCCTCATCAACACTGAACTTGGTAAATATGTTTTAGGAAAAGGCTATACCCCATGTTGGAATGATGTCACCCTACATAAAAACATACGTGATCCTAAACAGGTTTTGTTTGGGAAACCTTAATGATAATGCAGCCTATGAATAAGACCATGTTACATCCTCTGGATTTCTAGTTAATCTTACATGATTTGCTCTGTTAATTTTGTTATGTATTTTTATCTATTTTATTTTAATTCTTAGAGCCTTTTTAAAAAGAAATTCCAATTGGTTTTGAAGTAATTCTATTCAACATATGAGAACTTTATACATTTTAACACGTCATTATTGTTCCAAAGCTAACTTCCTGATGTTGACATTTTTGAACATGTCAGTCAAAAATATTCAAATATTAGTTATTTGTTTATTAAAGTGGATGATTTAACACTAAATTCTGCAGTTAATTTATCTTTTTAATATATGTAATGGTGTTTGCTATAGTGAAGTGGTGTTACCAACTTTGTTTGTCATTTGCTAATTTTTGTAATCCATTGATTAATATAAATTTGACAGTGTGTCACTTTGACTATAAATTATTACATCTGGTAATTCTGTCTGCACTGTATGGTAAAGGGTTAATATCTCTATAAGAACTAACAGATTGATCTGCAGTTGGTAAATTCAATATTCAGAAAATCAACAATAAATGTGTAAATTCACAAGGGACTGTTGTATTGCATAATAGTTTTATAAATATTTTTACATACATTTATTAAGATATTAAATATAGCTTTTATAAAAATCTTTTCTTGTAAATTTTTAGATCATGGAGAGTCTTCAAGATTGTCCTCCAGATTTGGCTCCCGAGATTGAAGAATTAAAAACTATATTGTGTGAACCTCATTTTCGAGTATGTTCATATATTTTTTATATTCTTAAAAAGATAAATAAAACCATTAGTGATAAGCATAAAATTTGCTGAAAAGAACAGATCATACAAGGAACTAAGATTATCAGCACAAAACCTTTCTCACTAATTTCTAGCCGTATTAACAGGAGTACAAATGTTTTCGGCCTTCTTAATAGGCCTTCCTCGGGTACACTGTGGAGCGTCGGTTAGAAGAAGTTTAAACGCTGCCAATGTTTACCCAGGTATCGTCTTACCAGTGACGCCATCGTCGATGATAGGTATAGACGATATCGAGGGCGAAGAATACATACTTTTGGTAAAGAAGGGAGGTGTGCAGATAGGATACTTGCTAAAGTTGGGGGAAAAAATAACATACTTTTGGTAAAGAAGGGAGGTGTGCAGATAGGATACTTGCTAAAGTTGGGAAAAATTTTTTTTAAAATAAGCGCGCTACGTACAGGAGATGCACAATCACTACAGGGGGTTAGTGGGGAGTGATGTCATAGTTGAGGTTGTAAATATTCAACGATACAGTAAGAAGAGGCATGCGAATGCCCGTGGATGGGAAGGGGGTTACTATTGGAAGGCAGAATGAGAAATAAACGCGACAAGTAAAAAAGAGCGCTAACGGTTGCACACGGTGAGGGTGGGATGGTCTATTTATTTCAAGGAGTTGTCGAAGAATGATTTCCAAGCAGAGGAGAGCGAGTCCGCATCTCTGCTGTTGATACAACCGTCTTTGAGGGATTGCTTAAATATTTCAATTGTCTCGACTGTTCTTAGCTTGGTGCGGTCGTGCATAGGAATAGTAATCCTTGCCTCCTTCCATTTGGTCATTATACCAAGTTCGCTTGCAAAATGGGCAAGGGTGGAAGTGAATTTTTTGTTGTATGCATTGTACTTGTGCTCAGTTATCCTCCATTTAAGTGATCTATTGGTTGAGCCAATGTATGCTAGCTTCTTGCACAGGTTAGATCTGCTGTCCTCTAATGGGACGGTGTAGACTCCTGGTATCCTGGCTTTGCTGCATTTGTCCTTGGTATTAGCTAGAAGTTTATAAATCGTAGGGTTGCGTCTGTATGCGAGAGTAGCATTGACCTTTTTTTGTTATGAATTTAAAGGCCTGGTTCATTCTAGGGTCAAAATCGACAGTAATGCGCTTACCTTGTTGCTTTAGAGATTTGGAATTGACATATTCGGTTGTTAAGCATCTATGAATTTTTTGCACAAGCTTATCAATAGACTTACTGCTGAAACCGTGGGCTGTGGCGAGGCGCTTGATGCGTTGGATTTCTAGTAGCATGTCATTAATGCTAGAGCAATGGGTAAAAGCTCTGTGGATAAGAGCCCTGAAAGCGGACATTTTGTAAGTAAAGGGGTCATTCAAGGTTGCAGGGATAAAGAAAGATTGAAGATTAGGCTTATGGAACACACTTGTAGTTATGCAGCCATGATTCAAGAAGATATTGAGGTCCAGGAAATGGGTCATCATGTCATCCTGCTGGTCTAACTTAAGCTTAAGTCCAAAAGGGTTGTTGTTCACAATCTGAGGAACGGTGTTCAGATCCGGCTTGGACTTCCAAATGATAAGAATGTCATCAATATAGCGCGTATAGAGAACGATTTCCGCGTTGAAGGACTGTAACACTTGGTTATCTAGTTTTCTTACAATTAATTTGCAGAGGTCTCCCGAGAGGGGGCTACCCATAGGTACTCCCCTTTCTTGAAGATAGATTCGTTGGTTGAAAGTGAAGAATGAGGTGTAGCACATAAGATGGGCAAGCTCCAACACCTGCTTGTGGTATCTGGGTGGAGAGGCTTGGAAAAGGAAATCTCTAAGGGCACAGAAGCATGGTTCCAATTTAATGGAAGGATACATAGCTTCAAAGTCTAGGGCTGTCCTGATCCTTCAGAGCGATATTCTGCAATTTAGTGACGAGTTCCCGCATGTTCGAAACGGTGTAACTATAATCTTTCAAATGGCCTTTAAGGAGCTCATGTAGACCCTTCTCAATAGGTAGGGTTGGAGATCTTGATTTGTGAACAATCGGCCAGATTTGCCTGCCTGGTTTATGGGTTTTAGTATAGCCGAATAGCCGCGGTATCTCGGGTGATTGCATGGTCATGTTCTTTAGTTGCAGGTGTTTAGCTAATGCTGAGTTGGTGAATCTGGAAACCCTATTCTGGTGCTTGTCTAAATATCCTTCATCTATTGTTCGGCATTCTGTAAAACTGATGTATTCCTCAAGCAACTTAGTGTATGTATGTTTCTTCATAAGAACAACGTTTCTGCTTTTGGAAGGCCTGTTAAGAAGGCCGAAAACGTTTGTACTCCTGTTAATACGGCTAGAAATTAGTGAGAAAGGTTTTGTGCTGATAATCTTAGAAATAGTTCTAGCTACATATGCATAGTAGTGCATACAAGGAACATATCATAATTGATTATTTTAACTTCATTATACAAAGAAATGCATTTTGAACCTCTTGCCACTCTTCAGTTTTTTATTACATATCTTTGACTATTTCTTAAAATTATGTTAGTGACAACTGAATGAATCAGCTTTATATTCATAAGCTGCTAAATATTGATAAAATTAAATTAACATAAGGCTATGATGAAATATATTTTTGATATATTTTTTTTTATAAATAAGCTGTTTCTTTATCAGTTTTATTCAATTTTGTAATTATTCAATCTTATAATATAATCGAGATGGGCTGATGATAATAATAATAAGTGCAGAACCCAAACAGTTAGGAGTTGAAAGTTGAAATTTGGTACACAGTTAGGGTACTTCATGAGAATGCACACTAAGAAGGATTTTTGGAAATTTCTCTCTCTCTGTGGGGGAGAGGCTTAAGGATTACCCTAAGAATGCAGCTTCTACTGTACTATTTTAGATGTGGTTTTTTGCGGGAAATCGAACATTATTAGACCCATCTAAAAATTCTCTAATTAGTCTCAGAAGAGGCGGTCTTAATTCTTGCACCCAGTGAAAACAGGTAAAATTGTTTATAATCTAATAATCTTAATCTTTGCTATTGTTACTTTTTGCCTGAGCAACATCAGGCTCATCTTCTAGTTTCACATAATTATATAATAATAATCAATGACAGTTTGAAAATGAATGAATAATGATTTTTAATTTACATATAATTATACTTATACTAATTACTTTCTTACAATTGTTATCTTATTAACAAAAGTTTTAGTGAAACAAGTAAATATATCAAATATTTTATATTTAAAAAGTGTCGTGTAAAGAATTATATAAAATTTATGGAAATGACCAATTACACGTGAAACAAAAAAAATAAACTTAACATAAATAAATAAATATTAACTATGTGTATGAAATATATTATATCACCAATAAAAATGCAATTACTTATTGACCTTATTCTCATCAAAATTTGAAAAATTAAAGAATTTGTATTTTACTATTTACATATTTGTATCTGATATATATTCCAAAAAAATCTAATGAGAAATTAATTTTTCTTTTTGTTTTTATATTGTCTACTTGGACTTTGTTATAAATAGGACTTATTATGCTGGTTTAGTTTCTGATTAGCAAAGAGAGGGGATCTTAGTCAAAAGTCAAAACAAAATATTTTAAAAATATCAGGTGAAAATAAAAATAATGGTATTTTGTTTTGTCTAAGACTTCCTCTCTTTGCTAATCAGAAAATACACCAGTATAATAAGTCCTATTTATAAACATGGTTCAAGTAGTCAATATTTTTAGTTTTTGTTTCTATATTAAGGACATAGAAGTAAAAATAATTAAGAAATGAATGTTATTTAAATGTTTTAAATAATTGATTTTATCACATTCCTGCAATTTATTTATAACCATTGGGCAATAAATGAAAACATCACTGTTTTTGTCAGTTTATCTAATAGAAATAAGTTTGGTATATCATTCATGAGTGTTAAACTGGGTTCAGCATTTATTTCTGGTTAAGTGCTTCCAAGTAATGGGGTGACTGTAAAGTACTATATTATTTTTCCGACTTTCCAACGATTAACGACACGACTGTGTGCCGGAAATAGCCGTTCCCTAACGGGTACTTTACGCGGATTCGCGTTAGTGTGCCAGGCCTGGACTTTTAGCATGCACCGAAATTAAATAACGACCAAGTTTGTCAATAACAAAATCAACTATTTAATTAATAATTCTAATAATAACTATATACAATATTTAGTAAAATCAAATAACAAATTTATTCAATGAAACTCAACAAGAATCAACCCGACAAAACTCAAATCAATCTAGTTTCTAACTTAAATCTATTCCCCTTTGGAATTCGACAAAATTCAAAGACTTAACTTATATACAATAATTCTTATGAATTAAAGATCCTAATCGTCACCTCAATATACTAGGAACCTATTTCCTCAACTCTCAAGACTTTCTCTATTCGTCGATCCACAAATCGAATAACTTCAAAATCGCCTTGGAACTATTTGATCCTATCGGACACCTCTCTCGTTCACTGCTACGAAGCTCACCAAAGCTCGTTGCTATCAGGAGTTCACCTCAGGCATCTTCACTTGACGTTCTGTTTTTATACTGTGAGGTGACGTCACAATTCTGAATGAGATCACTCCCCTCATTTACATACTTATTCGCTAACAATAAATTTTTTTCTATTTGTCTGGCAGCCTATTTTTCCGACAATTCTCGCTAAACTTTTACATTATTCTTTTTACAATTTTCGGGATGTTTTATTCTTTTAAGGTTTAGCGAATTTAAGTTGTGTTTGTGGGGTCTTCTCCCCCTTTTCTCGGTGCGGACTTACTTTTTTCCGCTCGGAACGCAAGTGTGCGTGAGTTTTTTCTACAGCGCTTTTCTCTCATTGGTGAGTTGGTTTCTCTTCTATTTTTAAGTTCCTAAGGTAAATGGTGAGGAAACTTTCGTCCTAACAAAACATAAGCCCCAAACAAAAATAGAATAATAAGCAAAATAAAAGTAAATAAAAATAATGCTTGGACT